GTGTGGTAAGGTAGTTTATATTCTTTTAAGACTCAGTTGGAGAGGAAGACCTAGAAAATTGAACTGCTTTCTCCCTGGCCAATGGGTTGGCTGCCATATATATTTTTAGCAGACAAGCAAGGCCCCATTTTGTACACTGTGGAGATCTCTCACCACCAAAATGAATTACATAGTCATCCTAATTGAGAACCAGTTTCAAATGAATATGCAGATATAGGTGAACAGATACACTGTTACAATGCAAGAGAGAACTTCTGTTTCTCAGTGTCTGCATTTGTGAAGAAGGTTTCATTCTCTGGGTGGAAGGATGAGAGCTGAGAAATAGGACCTTGCAGTGACAGAATTTTAATGTGCAGTGTATGCAGCTGAAGAAAGGCATGGCAGACTCCCCTTCTTTATTGCTACATATATTAGAGCATTTACATAGTGCTGGTTCCCATCTAAATGGCGGGGTTGTCTCCAGGTCAACCAGCAGCTCATGAAAACTCTAATTCTCCTAGAAGCCAGATGTAATTCTGATCAAAGGTAAAGCTTCTGCTAAAATTCTAGTTCTGCTAAAGCTTCTGCTAAAATTCTAGTTTCATTAAAATGTGAAAGGACTCCTAGAAACAAACCAAATATTGCATTCTTTTACATTTTCCCAAACCACAGTAATAGCCAGTTCTGCCAAACACTTGAACATCTATCGAGTTCTGAAAAGAAAAGCATAATCACGTCCTGATGTGTTCAGTAATTTTTCTTTCTTTGACTCCTTTTTTTTTCTTCCTAGTTTTGCTCTTCTAAGGCATTTCTTGCCCTTACCAATTCTTAAATTGTAGCCTAACACTGCAGGAAGATTACTGGTAATTTTGCTACAATGTTTAAAATAAGAAATCCACTTTTAGATTTTAGCAACAAGAATATAACAATTTTGTATAAGAGAAACTAAACATTCTGCATATTCACTTCAAAGAAAATTTATGGTCTCTGTTCTAAAGCAACATTGCTTAACTCTTTGCTAATTTTAAGTGACTGGCATGGCCATTTTTCTCTTTCTTTCTTTCTTTCTTAATGGACCTTCCTTCACTAAGTATTAGAAGTCTTCTGCTTCTTTCCTTTGGAAAACTTCATCTAGCTAGCTTTTGCAACTTTGTCCTTTGAGAATACCACAGTATGGGATAAAGAAGCTGGGGTAATGGAGTGGAGATTTAGACAGAAGGAGAGAGTTCTCATTGTTCTGTGCTGGTTGAAGTAAATGCTCATTATGCTTGATTTCATTTATTTCCTGTCTCACTAGTTAACAAAAAGCTGATTGTTTTCTCCTGAACATAATGGTCATGTGAGTAGAGAACAATAATCATCTGTTTTAATATCAACATTTTCCTGGATGGTTAGAAAGCTGGGAAGTTATGACTTCTGTTTATGAATCTAAATTTTAAAATTAAATTCGTTTTTCCTAGAAACCATAATATTCCATATTTCTTCAAAGTTCTGGAGAACATAATCCCTTCAGCACAATTGCCCTATTTTATCTTATTTTATTTTTTTTGACTTTGTAATTATTTTTTATTGTTTTTTATTGTTTTTTATTGTTATGTTAATCACCATCACCAATCATTACTTTTTGATGTAGTGTTCCATGATTCATTGTTTGCGGAATTGCCATATTTTAAAACTGATTTCTGGAAATAGGTTCTAATTGGCAAAACATAAAAGACTAACATATTTAGAATCAGAAGATACATAGGGAAGAAGAGTGTGATTTTCTACATTTGAATCTGGAATTTACACATAGTACCTTATTTTCCACCTCACACTAAATAGAGTTTACAGCAAACTAATGGGACCAGATGTGTCTTATTAGATGTGGATGTCATGGGGAGGTGGAAAGGGCCCTTGAGCAGCAGAGAGGAGGAAGGCTGAACTCCAGTTTCAGTTCTGCAACAAACTCAGTGGATGACTTTTCTCCCCACCACAATAAGTGCAGTCACCACCTGTCACTGTAACATTACTGCGATATGACTACATATACTCTGTGCCATACATCTCAGCCAGTGGATGACTGAGCAAGCTACCACTTCCCTTTATAACTCGGTGTTCTCGACCACAAAATAAGAGTACTCCTAACTTCAGCCTTTTATGTTTCTGTAACATTACTGGATATGAAAATGTCCTGGACTGCACACAAAATGGAAATGTTTATCATAAGTAGCATTTAAAAATGTGTCTCATCAGTTTGTTTAAAAACAACAACACCGTTCAAGCTGGGTTAACCTTAAGGACAAAATTTTTTTTCTTAATTTTTTTTTCTCTTTAATATCATAAACATTCTTAGGCACTAGCATTATCTGTTGATGATAATGGCCATTTGCCTCTGACCAGCCTCTTTAGCAATGCCTTATGATTTCAGTGTTACCTGCTGTGAATGCTCCAAGTAAACAGTGATTTGGGGAGTTGTAAGTTACTCGGATATAGAGATTAAATCAATTCAGCCTATGCTTTGTCTATATTGCTTTTATTTTTTGTTTTAAGTGCTTCTGTTATACAATCACCCAGCTGGCATTTTCAGTTGCTAAATGAAAAAAACCCCCAAAACAAAGAAATATCATTTCTTTTTTAACCTGATTTAAAAAAAGAAAAAGAAAAAAAGTAAGCCATGAATACATGTGTGGTATGTATGTATGTATGCATGCATGTATGTATATGAATCTGTCTTTTATTATTATGGATATGTAAAATCACAGCCTTCCCTTGCATAAAGCAGGAGATCTAAAATTAAAAACTGAGGGAATGTTCTGTTGGATTCTCTGTTTGAGGGCATATAAAGAGAATTTCCTTTCCTTTGTCCACAGAGTTAATTTCCTACCATAATCTTACAAAAATGGATAGTTTCTTGCAAAAAAAAATCACAAAAAATGTATACGTAGTGGGCGCCTGGGTGGCTCAGTTGGTTAAGCGACTGCCTTCAGCTCAGGTCATGATCCTGGAGTCCCAGGATCAAGTCCTGCATCGGGCTCCCTGCTCAGCAGGGAGTCTGCTTCTCCCTCTGACCCTCCCCCCTCTCATGTGCTCTCTCTCTCTCAAATAAATAAAATCTTTTAAAAAAATGTATATGTAGAAAGGTCTAGAGTGATGGATTATTTTGTTCAGAGGTTCTTAAATTGGGGTCCTTGCTTTGGGTTCTTGAATTGGGGAGATTGTGGGCTCCCCAAAATTGTATGTAATATTTTGCATTAATGTCATTATATTCACTTTTAATCAGGTTCTCAAAAAGATACATTACCCAGAAAAGATTAATAACTACTAATCTAGTCCAAACAAGAAATCTTAATCCCAAAGTGGGAGCAACTTGCCACAGTTACACCATGGGCCAGTGACATCCACAGCTGTAGAACTCAAACCCCTAAGTCTCTCATGCTAGTGTAGATGCAAATAGATTATGTTTCTTCAACTTGCCTCATCTTGTGAAAAAACACCGCCTGCTTTATTTGTTGCAAAGGTAAAGCATGCTTATAGAGATCTCATGATACCCTTTCAATTTTAACATTTATTGCCACTGACATGACTGTTTTAAGACCTGTAGGACAAGACATAGCCCCAGAGAAAAAAAATCCCTCAAAACAAAACAAAACGCTATTCTACATGCATGATGAAAACCTAATTTTATTACTACCCATAGAAGCAAAGATGACCTGTATTTAACATTTCATGTTTGAACATTAACTAGAATTTCAAAGAGACAGGGCTGTTCATCTAGAATTGCAGACCTACCAGGAAAGATGTTTCCTTTTCTGAAAAAATCTTCCACCTCTTCTACTGAAATTAGGGGTATTAGTATAATCACATCAATAAACTATGATCAGCAAAGAGTCAGTATTGCACATCAAGCCTGTACTAACTCAAATTTCTTTTTACTTGTTCTTTCTGTTATGTGTTTTTATGAAAATTCTTTTTAGTTTAGAAAATGTTGCCAAGATGTACTGGTTATCAAATATGCCTCCAGAGCTAAATCCGTAGGAACATTGCACATTTCCCAAATCTTTTTCTGACTCGCCTTCCTTCCACAGAAGGAAGAAGAAAGAATTCCAAGGGAAGGAAGAAATATCTATAAGTAATATGTTCATGGGCATTCAATGCTAGATGGTTTATCATGCTTGATTGCTATTGGTGAATCAGAGCAAAAAATGACAGTTAGCATCTATCATGTTCTGTGAAACCATGCAAAATTTTAACAAAGACAAGATAAGTCATTCTGCTTATTTCAGCAATGTGCTCTCTTTGATAGCAATTGACAGATGTCTACAAAACAAAATCACTAAACTGCAAAAAATGACTTAATTCTTAAAGTAGGGAAGTGGAGTTTTCCTCTGAACCAAGAATATAATGGCCAGTGAGCATAAAGTGATAGGGTTATGCAGTATCGTCCCAATGAGTTACTTTAAACTCAATAATTTCCCATCAAGACCCAGAATACCAGATGGTGCAACAAATAATATTCCTGATTCTGAACTTAAATTCAAATAATTAATGAAGTATTTCCTCTTGTTGTTCAGGAATGTGACTGCACTTTCAATGTCTCCAGTATAAACCAATATGTGGCAAAAGAGAGATATATCTCAGTGATCACTGAGAAACACAGTGCTCTTCCGTCTAAAAGTGCAAATTATACAAAGTATCTTCAGAGGTGAAAAATAAGACAATCTATGCTGGGGAAAAAGTAAATAAAAATAACAGAGGCCAAAATGCTGAGCAATGGTAAAAGTTATTAGTCTATATATTCCTTTATGATTTACAGTAATGATATTTTCCTCATTACTATGCAACAGTAATAGATTAAGTAAATTGCAGATGAAAAGAACTTATTAAATCATCGTGTCTAATGCATGCAAAAGAGGGCAGATTTCCATAGACAGAGGAAAAAAGAAGAAAGAAAAATATAAAAATAGATACTCTATCAACATCTACTAAAGTTCATTCAGCATTAAGGCCACAGACATCAAATAGAGGTATTAGTGTCAGTAGTGAGGAAGAGGAGACACAAAGTACCCGTATTAATACACAGTTCTGTGCTGTATTTTCAAACATCTACTACATTTGCCTGGAGCTTTCCTAAATCAAAACTACTCTGTTTATACTCACGTAGAAAATGTAATCTGAGTTTCAATGCATTTTTAATTTCATTCAATCTTGCATTTGTTCAACCAAAAACAATTCAAAGAGGACCAAGGCTATCAGCCTCACAGTGAGCAAGTGAGGCACCTCACTAGGGAGTTCTTGAATCTGCCATAAAAATCAACAGTGTGCATCTAATAGTTTTGTTTTCATTTGAGCACTGAAAAGTGAATCATCACAGCAACTATTCTTCAGGGCCTCTTTGGTTTCCAGATTAAACATGTAATGTGACCTGTCATCTTGCCACATCCTCTGCATTTCCATTGTAAATAATCATAAATAAGAAAACCTTGCTACTCTTTGGCATGACACAGCTACTTGATTCAGCTGAGCTTCAAAGTCTTAGAAATTGCACTCATTCCTTGTTCAGAATCCTGGTTCCTCTCAAAGGCTTTCAGCTGAAAGATTCTTTATTGTATTCAAATCTTGTCCCATATGGGTTGTTTTGGTTACTCAGTTTATGAAGAGTCTTAGAAATTGAATTGGGTCCACAGCAGAAAACACCAACAGTTTTCCTGGTGAGAGAGAGGAAGAAAATGGAAAATCAGGTGGAAAATTAAGCAGAACATAACAAGAAGGATGTATCGGAAGCATGTTTAAAGTATTAACAAAGTTCATTTCTTGCTGCTTTGCATACTGAATTAATTTCCCAATTATTTCAAAATGTAAGCGATTACCATGACGATATTTTATGTATTGCATGCTTTCCCTGCTAGAATTCCGAATAATTCAAAGAATGTAACTATGAGCACAGATTTGCTTATTATTAGACAGAAAGTGAGCAGTCTGCCCTTAGCCTTTCCATTATATGCAGAAACGAAATCAAGAGCAGCTGTGGATAGATGTCCATCCACACTGGGTCATGTCAATCTTCTCTTATTAGATGTTTTATATGCATTTTTCTAAAGATCCCATGAATTATCATGGGCAGTGATGAGTAAAAGAAGAAAAGCTATTACCAATTTGAAAGGATAATTCTAAGTAACTAATTTATATCCCCGTTGAAACAAAAGCATATTAATCTGTATACATTTTCTTTTTTATTTATGCACTGTAATAACTGCACCAAATGCCAAGCAGTTTTTATTGTTTGCTAACATAAAACTTTAGTAGATAAATTATACATATCCCTAACAAATTGACTAAATAAATCCCAGGAAATGACTGATATTTCACATCGATCTTCCTCCGAAGTTTGTTATTTGCATTGAATTCTTCCTATGATACCAAAGTGATTAACAATTCATATCATATCTGGGATAAATATAGTATGTCCTCAATATCTTATCTGAGAATAAATGGTGCTGAAAAAACCCAGTAAATCCATTTAAATGAGTACCAAGATTTTATAATAAATACTTAAAAAAATGCCTTTACTGAAATTTTGCACCTTGAAAAATGAAACAAAGAACTACAAAAATAGAACTTTTACTTGCAGCCATGATGGAGTAGCAGGGACTAGATTTACCTTCATGCATCGAAAAACTAGGGGAAAAACCCAATACATGGAATAAGTATATTCAGGTATTGGACAGTAGGTAAAAGAGGAAAAAACAAGGTGAGAAAACCAGTTGCTGGCAACTCTCTGCTTATGGCCTGGAGGCAATTTACAGGCTGCAGCACCGAGAAACTCAAGCCAAGACTGGGGGTCTCACTGAGTTGACAAGACAAAGAATGGAATTCATGGAGGACAAAGTCGCTAGAATTTGTGGAAGGGAAGAGAGATTCACAGCAGGAAGCTCTATCCTCAAGTCTTTGGCTGAGTACTGATGTGCTCATGTGTGAGGGAAACTACATGAATCTGGATAAAGAACGAGCAGGGAGCAGTAAGGCAAACAATTCCGAGTTGACACAAGGTTGTGAATAATTCATATTCCCACAAGCCAGAACGGAAAGATCTACATATCATATGTGGGCAATGGGTAGTGTTCTAGAAAGTTATCACCTTACTTGCAAGAGGCAGGGTGGATGTTGGTAAAATTAGCCTTAGACTGAAGGTGCTCTGGATCTATACCCAGAAGGATCAAACCAAAACCAAGTCACAAAACTGCATGCCAGAAACAAGTTCAACAGTATTGAAAAGATCAAAATATGGTTTTTAACATCTAAACTTCACAATGTACAGTACTCAATAAGAAATCACCAAGAATTTTATAAACCAAAACTAGGAGTGTTATGGGCTGAATTATGTCCCCTCAAAATTCGTTATGTGGAAAAAATCAAACCCCCAGTACTTCGGAATATAGCTGTATTTGGAGATAAAAGCTTTAAAGATGTGATTAAGTTAAAATAAGGCTTTAGAGTGGATCCTACTCCAATCTCACTAATGTCTTCATAAGAGAAAATTGGATACACAAAGAGACATGAGGGAATGCACATGCTCAGAGAAAAAGACCCTATGAAAAGGCAACAAGAAGGTGGTAATCTGCAAGGCAAGGAGCGAGGTCTCAGAGGAAATAAACCCTGCTGGCATCTTGATATTAGCCTCCCAGTCTCTAGGGCTTTAAAAAAATAATCCACTCAGTCTGTGGGATTTTGTTATGGAAGCTAGTCCTAGCCAACCAATAACAGGGAGAAAGATCAGTCAACAGAAACAGGCCCAGAATGGCAAAAATGATGGACTTATCAGACATTTCATTGAAACAGTGATGAGAACCATGCTTCATTATATTCAAAGGTAAGCAACACCATCATGAGAAGAGAAATAGAAGATTTCTTAAAGGCCTAAGTGGAAATTCTAGTGTTTAATGGAATATTTAAAATCATAAATATTCTGATGGGTTAACAGAAAAATAGGCACTGCAAAAGAAAAGATAATTAAACTTAAAGACCTGGCACTACAATCTATCCAAATGGACCACACAGAGAATAAAAATTAGGAAAAAAGATGAACAGAGGCTCAGTGACCTGTGGCACAATATCAACTAGTCTAATATAGATGTAATTGTAGTCCCAACATGAGAGAAGACAAAGGGAAAAAGAAAAAAAATTACGAAATAGTTGCCAATTCTTTTTTCCAAATTTGATGAAAACAAATACATAGATCCAAGGATCTAATGAACCCCAAGGAGAATACACACAAAGAAAACCACGTAAGTCAACTTATAATAAAACTGAAAACCAGTGACAAAGAGAAAAACATAAAAACAGCCAGAGGGAGGCAAAAATACACATTATAAATAATAAACAGAAGATGAAAGATGGAGTTCTTGTCAAAAACTATGCATGTCAGGACGCAATGAAGTGACATCTTCAAAGTTCTGAAAGACAAGAGAAAATCCAACTATTCCATACCAAGCAAATTCTACACTAAACACAAATAACTTTCAAAACTGAGGATGGAATATAAGCTTTTCAAATGAACGGGGAGAGAATTCATCACCAGCAAACCGGCACTATCAAGTATATTAAAGGAAAGTCTTCAGGAAGGAGGATGAAATCAGATGGAAAGTTGAATCTACCCAGAGGAATTAAAAGCACAAAAATGGTAAATGTGTGAATAAATATAGTGTGTATTTTGCCTAATTTTTAATCTCTTTGGAATATAATTGATGCTAAAAGTAATTTAAAAACAATGCATCATGAACTTTATAATATATGGAAAAGAAAGATGAATAAGAACAGCCAAAGAGATGCACGGGGAATGCAAGTACAGACGGTGGTATAATATTATTTGGAGTACACTGTGATAAACTAATGATGTACACTCTAAACCGAGAACAATGTTCCTCTGATTTTAGCTTCATCAGAATTACTTGAGGGACTTCACACACCATACACCAGTTGGTCCACAGACCTAGAGCTTCTGATAACAGAGATCTTGAATAGGGCTCAAGAATTTGCTTTTCTAACAAGTTCCAGGTGATGCTGGTCCAAGGAATGCAGTTTGGGAACCAATGCCTTAAAGAAATCACCAAAAGCAAACAGACAAACAGAGAATTATGGCTAATATGCCAATATAGGAGGAAAAAATGGAATCATAAATGTACTCAATCCAAAAGAAGGTAGACGAAGAAAGAAAGAAAATGAACAAATGAGATAAATAGAAAGCAAAAGTAAACTGCTAGATTTAAACCCAATCAAAGGGAGCCAAGAATACACAATGAGAAAAAGACCATCTCTTCAATAAATGGTGCTGGGAAAACTGGATATTTACATGCATAAGAATGAAAATGGACCCCTATTTTACACCACTCACAAAAATTAACTTGGAAAGAATTAAAGACTTAAATGTAAGATCTTAAACTATCAAACTCCTAAAAGAAAACAGAGGGTGAAAACTCCTTGACATGTCTTGGGGTTAATTTCATGGATATGACACCAGAAGTACAAGCAATAAAGCAGAGATAAATGTGAGACTGTATCAAATTAAAAAGCTTCTGTACAGCACAAGAAATCACCATCAACAAAATGAAAACACAGCCTATGGAATGGGAAAAAATATTTGCAAACTACATATCTGATAAGAGGCTAATATCCAAAATATATAAGAAATACATACAACAAAATTGCAAAAGAAGACAAGAAAAAAGAAGAAAAGAAATAATAAAATAATGATAATTGAATTAAAAAATAGGCAAACCCTGAATAGAAGTTCAGGCTACTTTCAAAATAGCCAAAAGGCACATGACAAAGTGCTCAGCATCACTAATCTTCAGGGAAATGCAAACCAAAACCACAATGGGATATCATCTCACACCTGCTAGGAAGGCTATTATTAAAAAGACAAAGAGGTAAATGTTGGCAAGGATGTGGAGAAAGGGGAACCCTTGTGCACTACCGTGGAAATGTAAACTGGTGCAGCCACTATGGATAACAGTACGGAGGTTTCTCAAAAAATTCTAAATAGAAGTACCATATGATCCAGCAGTCCCTGTTCTAGGTATATATCCAAAGGAAATGAAATCATTATCTCAAAAAATATCTGTATCTCCATGTTAATTGCAGCTTTATTTCCAACAGCCAAGACATAGAAACAACTTCAGTGTCCATCAATGGATAAATGGTTAAAGAAATCATGATGTGATATACAGATATATTTATATGTTAATTATTTATATCACACAAAAACAGCAGTATTATTCAGCCATAAAAAAGAAGGAACTCCTGCCATTTACAACAACATGATTGGAACTCGAGGGCACCATGCTGATACAAATCAAAGAAAGACAAATACTCTATGATCTCACCTATATGTAGACTCTAAAAAAAAACCCCAAAACCCAAACTCATTGAAACAGAGAGCAGACTGGTGGTTACCAGGGCCAGATGGGAGAGGTAGGGAATGGGTGAAGGTTGACAAAGAATTATAAACTTCTATAAGAAGAATAAGTTCTGGGATGCAATGTACAGCATGGTGACTATAGTTAACAATACTGTGTTGTATATTTGAAAGGTGCTAAGAGAGTAGATCTTAAAAGTTTTCTTCACGTACACACACACACAAATTGTAATTATGTGATGTGATGGCTGTGTTGATTAATCTTCTTGTGGTAGTCATTTTGCAATATATATATATATATATCAAATCATTACATTGTACATATTAAATTTACACAGTATTATATGTTAATTATATCTCAGTAAAGCTGGAAAAAATCCAACAATATTTTTGCTCCATAAAATAATAAAATATAATATATTTTGTAATGAATAAATATAATAAAATGCAATAATAATATGTAATGGAATAGTTTAAACACTACAACTAAATCCTCCAAACTAAAAAACTCCAATATACATGAAACAAAAACTAATAGGACCGTAAAGATATATAAATCTAGAATTACAGTTGATTATTTCAACACTCTTCTCTCTGTAATTGACAGAACAAAGAGAAAATCAGTAAGCGTATTGAAGACCTGAATACCACTATCAAGCAATTGGAACAAATTGGTATTTATAGTGTGCTCTATCCCCAAACAATGGAATACAAATTCTTTTCAAGTGCATGTGGAACATTCATCAAGACAGACTACATTCTGGGCAGTAAAACGATCTCAAATAAATTTTAAAGGATTGAAATCACAAAGAGTATATTTTCTCAACAGAACCCAAGTGAACTAGAAATCAAAACCAAAAATATATATGTAGAATCCCCACGTTTGGAAATTAAACAAAAGGGAAGAAATCACATGGAAAATTTAAAAATACCTTGAAGTGCATAAAAATAAAAACATACCAACATTTGTGTGATGTAGCTAAAGTGTTGAGAGAGGAATTTATAGTATTGAACACTTTTATTAGAAAAGAACAAGGGTCTGAATCAATGATATAAGGTTCTACCTTAAGAGACTAGCAAAAGAAAACTTAATTAGAAGAAAATAAAAAAGTGTGAAAATAAATTATACTTAATAAAATTTAGATTACTATTAAAACCAGATCTAGACATGCTAGGTTACTTAAATTGAATAAAACTGAACCATTCAGTTTATATCACCAAAAACCAAAGACAAACAAAAAACATAATGTGGTTTTCATGAAAATGAGAAAGCACTGAGTCATGTTGTCTGTATTCATTCTCTGTCAACACTACATTATAATAAGATACCATTACTTTCTTCACGGCAATTATGAAGTTAGCTTTTCAATTTTTACAGACTTCCCAAAGGCTTCTCTTAAATATTCCACAACAAAATTATTATTTTTAAAGCACCCATATATCATATATATATATATTTACATTTTGCATTACATTTGTTAACTAATTTAACAAATCAGATTTCTGTGTAATTTGAGGAGTTCCCCAATGTTACTTTCACTAACAATGAGATCCTCTAACTTTTTCAAGATCTATACGTAGTCTCTGCAATCCATTTGTACTAAATTTGCATTAGGTTGCTGCAATCCAACAATCATCCAGAGATTTATCTACAAAATCTTTGCTGATATGGGTAGAGATAGATGCTAAAGCAGAGAATGTTGTTTGGAGTCAGATGTTAGGAACTAGTTCCATAAATGTTTAATATATTTGTGCATATTTTCCTATTATACCAATCTTTGTTTTTCCATGCAGATTTGTAAGTGTGGGATCTCATAATAATAACAGCTTATTCACTCCCTGTAATATAGACCCAGAAGGTTTGAGTGACTTGACCCAGGGACACAGATCAAATGTTAGACAGCAAATCTAGGTATTCTTAATCTGTATTGTTTTTAAAACACCATGAGGCAGGAGAATGTAGATATGGTCTCAGACATTTCACTCCAATCCCAGAGTAATAGTTCTCTACTCCAAAGGCCACATAAAATTATTCCTTTGTTTCTCTCTTGAATAATGCATAAATTCGACTAATTTATGATATGATATATATTTTTATTACAAATATAGGAAAATGGACTGTGGTTCTGATAATAAAAAAAGATTTCCTATCATCTTATTAAATACTGAATGGCTTATAAAGTAATACTTAGAATATCTTATGTTTTTGAAAAATTAGTTGTTGATACTTTTAGTATATTAGAGTTAACATTCTGTTGCAATATGTATAGTGAACATGATGGTTTCTTGCAACATCTCACTGTCCCCAAGAGGGGCATGGTAACATCAAATTGCTACTCTTTCTACTTGTGACCATGCTTTGTAGTAAATAAAGTACATTGAACTTTACAGTCAGAAGATAGGATTCATGTCTGAATTCTGACTCATTAACCATAGCTTGAGATAAATCATTATCTTTTCGGGTCCTAGCTTCTTCACTTGTAAAATAATGATGAAAGCAGGTGACTTCAAAAGCTCCTTCACCTTCCTTGATCATGCCATTACATAATTCATTTTCTGAATTTAAAAAAGGCACATAAGGAAGGAACCACCTCATACATATGTGTAAAGTAAATTGAGTAAAAATTGATTCACCCTTTTGGTTTTGATAGGACAGTATCTAAATGTGCATACTCTCTGAGCCAGCAATTCCATTTCAAGGATCCTAACCTACTGCAATATTCCCACAAAAGCATGAGAAAGTATGTGCAAAGAGAATTACCATAGCATTATTTGTAACAGTAAAGGACTGGAGGTAACCTAAATATCCATAAGTAGGGTAGCAATGATCATGTTATCCATATTCTAGAATACTGTGAGGTAGAATTACATGGAAATTATCCATGAACAATATATGAGTGTATCTGAAAAAGACTACATTGAAGAATTCTATATTATAAATTCGTTCAACTTCGTTTAAAAATTAAGGTTCATAATTTCAGTGTATAGATTTTAAATATATATATGCATACATATACATGCACATATATATGAATATATACTTTTATAAGTATGTATGTGTGTCTCTATATATTCTTTCAGTAATTTATGTACTTGAGGTTAACCAGAATTTTACATCTAAAATAAGGACTTCTGTTTAAATAGCACCTTTTTTCTAGTTAGTGAACCCTTAAGATGTTGATCCATTCTTTTCCTAAATATGCCATGTGAAAATTCTTTAAAAATAATGCATTTTAAGTGCCTGTCCAGAGCAAATACACAAAGTGAAAGTGTTGTACAAAATGTCAACAGTAGATGGTGCACACTTGTTCTTCTTAAACCAGCTTTGCTGTTTGAAGAAAATGAACGACCAACCAAATTAACATACAAAGTCTATCTAAATCATGAACAGTTTAACAAATGAGAATTCTTAAGAAGTAACCAAAGAAATCAATAATCTCAATCTAATTTCTTGTAAGTGATCCTCTACTGATGTAGAGATTGGTTTCAGAATTGAGCAAAGACAATAGCAACAACAACAGAATTCCAAAGTTTTCATTAGTACACTATAAAAATTAATGTAAGAATGCTTGTCAGAAGTCAGCTGAATGTCATTAAAGAGAAAGGAGTCTATGGTACATTGAGAGACCCAGGTGAGTATGACAAGATTATCATGTCTAAGGTGGAGGATACTGGAGAAAGATGGGAGAATATAACCAAAATTGGGGTGACATTTTTTTAATTCTATAGTTCACCTTTAACTAGGGTCCTAGTTATTACAAAGGACCTCTGCTTCCAAAATAATGCTTCCCTTTTCAACCCAAAACTACTTCATCGAGAGAAGGGAAATGCAGAAGTGGTTTCAAACGTAACTACAACCTGACTTTCACGGGTAGCTATATTCCTTTTTAAAAGTTGCTCCTGGGGCTCCACGTGATAATTCCTAAAACAAAATCTCTGAAGATGGAGTCAAGGACCATGATGAATCAGTGAGTCTTTCAATAAATCATAGTCATCCATGAATTCATGAATTGAAGCTTTTTTAAAACTCTTCAATGAGCTGCCTCATTCATTTATAAATATCCTTCTTATAATAATAAAAATGTAGTTTTTAAATTATGAATTGACCAACTATATACTAATAATTATCATGATAAATCAACCTAGAAGAGCCACAGGGCCAAAGGAAATTTTAAAAACTTAAATATTCAATTTATCTACGTTCTTACTGCAGAAGTATGTTTACTTCAGCAACAAAAATATGATTAGTTCAAATGCGAAAAAACACATTGAATTTTGATAAATTCTACAGGTTGAAAAGGACAGAAATACAAGTTCAAGTAGAAAAATAATGTAAAATTTCCAACTGCTAATGAAAGGTTGTTTGTATCTCTTTCCAATATATGAGATTGGTATCAAAAACTGGTATTTCAATTCCAGTAGACATGTTTAAAGAGTTACACTAATTTTAAAATGTCAACATATGCAATATGTTAGAAATTAGAGCTTTGCAACTATTTAAACTTTTGATGAAACTATTTCAATGCCAAATTTAAAATGCCTGAGTGGGTATATGGTTTTCAAATTGCTTTTAGAATTCTTGTAGACCATTGCCCTGAACTACAAGTTTACAGGAGACAAAGGGGTTGGCTAGCTGTGCCCTAAAGCAAATGCTCTCCTTCCACAGTCATCTCTTCAGATCACAGACACATATTCCCTAATGCTAAGATTCTTCAGAGAATTATAGCTTCCAAGAAAAAATAAATTACGTTTGGAAATAATCCTGTTTTAGAGACAGCATATAATAATTAAGGGTTTTTAAAAATTTATTCATTTTCATGAAAAGTTCAAAAATCTGATTTTTAAGTGCATTCATTGTTAGAACTGCTGGTAGAGCTCCCTTATTTGCCAATGAATTTTGAAGTTTTTCCAATGATCACCTGATACATGATATCAGAATAAATACCCATTTTTATATGGGTCTACACAAATTTGAAAGTAGGTAGGAGGGTTTCATTCATAAATACTTTAATAGATTATTTCTAAGCCAAATTCTATCTATTTGGCGTTTCAGATATGTGAGGTGGTCCCTGCCTTCCCTCCTCCTTTGCTAGTGATAATTGAGTGTTTAAGCGACTTTGTAATTTGTAAACCCATTACCTAATTCATCTTTAAAAACTACATGTAATGACTTGAGAATATTTTAATTTGATCATTAGCCACATGGCAAATTTCCTGAGCAATAATACTTACCCTCTGTTACATTTTGCTATTTCATCAAACAGAAGTTTCCACCGAGGCCGTCCAATAAAAAGTCTTGAATTCAGTGCTTGATATTTTTCTCCAATTATCTTCTGCCCAAAAGAAAGCACTATATTTTATATGACACAGAATTAGACGAACAACCTATTTTTCTAACATCATTTCTACTGGTGCTGTGGCTTCCTACCAAATTGCTGTAGTATCAAGAATACAAGTATCAAATGGCAAGCTATTAAGTACAGTCATTTCAAAGCATCATTTCCTTCCTCTTTTCCTTTAAAATCCATTATCTTCTTGAATGCCATTGTTATAAATGGCTGATTTTCCTTCAGTTGGTTGCTTTGTTTTTAACAGCCGCAATATTAAAGCATGCATTTTAATTGCCTACTCTCAAAACGGCGGCAGCACATAAATTTATTAAAGTGTTTTGGCACTGCAAATACTGTCTTCATATTTGGCTCATTATATGAGTAAAATACTACAAATTGTCATCATAAATTTGGGGAAATGATCCTAGACAAGACAGCCCGAGCCAGAAGAGCTCCAAATCTTGGGTCTGTCAACAAATAACTTCTAATGGGCTGGTGTTTGCAATGAACAGAAGATGAGATCTGGATCGGCAATGAAGGGCCCGAGTGAGGTGAGAGGAGAGGGGAAAGTGTCTGAGTCACAGGCGGACAAACTGAGAACCAGTGCCACGTATGCTCTGCACCTTCATCACATCCATACCGTGAGGAATAATGATACTGACTTGCTTCGTGCAAATAGTAAAATGAAATATTTTTTTACATACCAAGTGGAGTGGAAATCTGATAGAAAAAGTAGGATCAGGTTAGTTTTGAAGTAACTGACAAGCATTCGAATTTTGTATCCAAAGTGTTACAAAAAATGTATAATGGAAAATACTAAAATAAAACTCATGAAAGCATCCATGCCTGGATTTACACACCCACGTAGCCTTCAGTGTCATCAGTAAACATCAGTTTCTTCATCTATAACATGGGAATAGCACTATCATCTACCTGTTGGATCTGTTAGAATTACACAATATAATATGAAGTGCTTAACACAGTGTCTAGCACAGCAAATAAATAATGTGTGATGGCTATTACTACATTTTTAGTTTCCTGTGGAGAGAAGAAATAAGCTTAACTACGTATGACCTTATCTTGTCTCTCCACATAAGAACTCCCCTCGACGAACACAATCATGAGACTGTTCGCTTCTGGTCTGATCTCTAGAGGTAGAGAATTTGAGACAACAGTGAAAAGGAGAGAGATGAACTCAAAGGTCTGTACCAGCTCCCTGTGAGGAGGACAAATGAAAGGCATAACACAGTTGGCTTCCAGGACAAGCCATGGGTTTTCTGGACACACTCCAAAAGAGGCCTTCCTCTGGGAAACTTCTCTTCAAACCACCTGCAGAAATTTTCCTCCAGCACAGCCCCGATAGAAAATCTTCTATTAGCAAGAGGCTTGTTTAATTTATAAAAACATCCAACCACATACCTGTATCCCATCTGTTTGACTGAGGTACAGCTGGATGTTGACATAGTCAGGTCTGTTTTCTTGCCAAAACTGAGAGGACATAAAAGTAAATAGACATGAGCATTCTCTCTGTAGACTCAGACTTTCTCCTCTTCTAACATATGTGATCCACAATTTAAGATATATCTGGTCTAATCACAGTCAACATTTACAAGCAATACATATGCCAGATTCTAGCATTAAGAATCCGTCCTCCTTGTACAATTAGTGTAAGCAGCAGCAGTAGTAGTGATAAGGAAATAGTAGATGTGTGGTAGTAGTAAGAGAATAATTCTGTTATTTTTACAGATACAGAATCAAGCATGCTAAATACTACACTGATATTTCCCTAAATCCTTCCATTTATCTCTTATCTTATTCCCTGAGTCCCTAAATTATAGCCAAGAGTTCACTCATAAAGAACATGATTTTCTTAAAAAACAGTAACACACAAATAGTGATATATAATATGCATGCTAGGAATCAACAAAATGAAAATAAACAAGACAAAAACAAAAGGCTCTGTTCCTGTTCCTTGCCTTCCTCCTACTCAGCACTGGTTTTCCTTGTACAAAACTGTATGAGGCAGGAAGTATACCTGCCAAAGAAAAAATAGTCTGGAAAAGATCTCAAACATTTCAATACCTTGAAAAGTAAAATAAGAAAAATATCATCTGAAGGAAAACAAACCCAACAAAGAGGGTAAAAGTGTTGTTGTCCTTGTATGCTTCCTTTTGCCTTCTTCATTTTCATTCAAAAATGAACCTACTAATAATTGACCTGACTCTGACTGAGTCCAGAAATCTATTCTTTTAAAAATATTTTCGCACCTGAAACTAACGTTACACTGTAAGTTAACTAACTGGAATTTAAATAAAAACTTAAATGAAAAAATATTTAAAAAATTAAAAAATATTTTAAAATATAGAAATATGATTTGAAATATTTAAAAAATTTTAAATAATTATTAAAATAATTTTTTTATTCTTAAAAGTATTCTTCTTAGGGCCGACTTTCACCACCCTGAAATAAGGAGCTGAAAGATAAGGACCAGGCACCAAAAGCGGAAGAAGAAAAGGAGAGGAATACAAGAGCATGGTGGGCTCCTTGGAGGACAGGTGTGGATCTGAGTGTCTGAGGTGACAGGACCAGCACTTCTTCAAAAGCCAAACCATTTCTTTTCTTTTTTTTTTTTCAAAGATTTTATTTATTTATTTGACAGAGAGACAGAGAGAGAGAAAGAGCACAAGCAGGGGGAACAGCAGGCAGAGGAAGAAGCAGGCTCCCTGCTGAGCAAGGAGCCCAATGCAGGGCTCAATCCCAGGACCCTGGGATCATGACCTGAGCCAAAGGCAGATGCTTAACTGACTGAGCCACCCAGGTGTCCCAGTCAAACCATTTCTTGAGCGTAAATCAGCATAGTGGGTTTGCTTGAGATGGTAAGGTTTTGCTGGACTTTATTGCAGCAAGAGGATCAACTGATTTAAAGTACTGTTTCTATACAGTATAATGATGGTTAGAGCAGCATTATCTAAAATAGCCAAATTACGTAAACAGCCCAAGTGTCCACTGACTGATGAATAAAGATGTGAGATACACACACACACACACACACACACAATGAATATCACTCAGCCATCAGAAAGAATGAAAGCTTGCCATTTGCAGTGACATGGATGGAGCTAGAGAGTATAATGCTAAGTGAAATAAGTCAGTTAGAGAAAGACAAACACTATATGATTTCACTCATATGTGGAATTTAAGAAACAAAACAAATGAGCAAAGGGGGGGAAAAAAGAGAGAGAGAGACCAACTAAGACTCTTAGCTTCAGGGAATATGCTAATGGATACCAGAGGGGAGGTGGGCACTGGGATGGGTGAAATCGGGGATGGGGATGAAGGAATGCACTTGTGATGAGCACTGGGTGATGTATGGAAGTATTGAGTCACTAAATTGTACACCAGAAACTAATATTACATTGTATTGTATGTTAACTAACTGGAATTTAAATAAAAACTGAAAAATAAAGTAAAATAAAAACTTTAAAATGACATATTGGGACTCAAAGTAGAAGTTTCAGGAATGCAAATAAAGTCACATTGCAAATGGGGGGGGCGTGATTAAGGAGGGTTTCATCAGCCCTCTGAGATGCCTTACAATGAACGGTAAGAGCACCTGGCAGGTAACTGACTTGTTTCTATTGCCAACACTATCTGGCCCTGAGACTTCTAAGGAATTACTGACTCATCTAGGCCTGTTTTTCATCAGGACAGTGACAGAGTTGAATGTCATCATCCCTTGGGTCTCTTTTCAGATCTAAAATGATACATTTTCTGACAGGTGGAAACTCTGAATATAAAATCCCAATAAAAACATATTTTACTTTGTGATGTGATGATTCTCAGCTCCATAATATTCTTAAAATATAATCATTAATTATATCCCATCAAATAGCTGCCTCAAGTTATATCCAAATGCTAAATTCATTTTCAGGCCCTTTCTCAATTGAATCAGGGTTTATACATTTTAATTGTGAAGAAATAGAAACTTCTGGATGCCACTAAAGCACCTCACAAAACACATGGCTTGTGTTGAGCCTTGTCTTAAATGTCTACCAGGGTGCTGTTCTGAGATCAGTCCTATGACTCCTGCATCGATAACTGTGTTTGGTGCCCACGGCCCCAAGTAAGAGCTATGCAAATTTGGATAATGTTTTTAATGATTTTGATGTCTCCACTTTAACTTACCCGTCACTTAACTTACCCGACAATAATATCTAATAAAGGCACAGTGTTCTCCAAATAAAGGAACAGTGAAAAAATAGACATGTGGATCAACACAATCTTGCAAATAGATTAGGATTGTAGGATCATGCACAAATATCATGTTTTTCACTTTTATGTCTCCTGCCTGTACTCTTCCTTATTTTTCTCACAAATAAAAAATAACAGGATGTGAGTCTTGGAAGGAATTTTACAGATCACTAATAGGAATCATAGCAATCATTTATTAAATGCCTTCAAAACAATAGATACTTTAGGTATGTTAAAGCTAAGTCTCACATCAGGTTTCAAGTGCTGTTAGCCTCCTTTACAAATTGAAAGCATAAATCGGGTTTATAGAGGTTAAGTGATTTACCCAAGGACTTGCAGTTCATATGAGGTAGAATCACTGTTCCACTGTAAATCACAGACCCCAAATGCCTGATGGAGCCCTGATCCTCCATTTTGATTTTACTAATATGACTTATAGAGGTGAAGTGACTTGAAGCAAGTCATGTCGTTAGATATTGGCAGAGCTGGTACCAGATCACCTGACACCTGGCCCTGCACTCTTCCATCACCAGGTTGGGCAATCTGGTCAAGCAAAATCCACCTAAGATCCATTTTTATCATCACTGAAGATAGTCTGACACCAAGACAAGTGACTAGGGCAACTAAGATAGCTTTGTCCTAGGCATTCTAAAATGATGTGAAAGAACTCACAGTTGGAACAAGATTGAAAGACTGCATTTTCATCTGGTTTTCAAAAACACTTTCAGCTACTCTTACACAGACTCTATGTAAAGACCCTATGCTCTATTGCTATTGATTTTTCTCTCTCTCTCTCTCTTTCTCTCTCTCACATACACACACACAAACACACACACACCCCAAACTTGGTAACACAGTTGTGAACACATCATCCTCAGAGACACAACTGAAGGACCTGTGTTCATCCCTCTGTTGCGAAAAATCAAAACATAGATGCAGAGGTGTGTGTAGAAGATAATCATCACTGTATTGTTTACACTAGTTTTAAGCTTTTATGTTATTTACTCCATGGAATCCTAAGGGTAAAGCACATCCATCAAAAAAACTTGAAATGGAAAGAAAACATAAAACTTAAGATTCAACTCCTTTGAGGGTCCAGTAACTTAACATTCTTTTCTTTCCTTTATTCCTTTCCTTCCCCCACTCCTTGCCTTATAAAGCATCTGTTATTCAAATGTGCCTGTCCATATCTTGGATCATTTTACTTAAAAAAATGTACAGTTTCTATATATCAGTTCAAGAAAGATTAAAAATTAGAAAAATAAAGGTAGAATTAGGAAATCCCAAAAGCAATACAACTGGTCAACAATCGCAAGAAGAGAGGTTCAATCTCACTAGCATTTAGGAGAAAATAGAATGAGATCTCACTGTTTAAGACATTGGTAGAAATTTAAAAGATTGATAATATAACATTTTAGAATAAATGTCTCTCATACTTTTTGGTGGAAATGTAAATTGTTTTTTTAAAAGATTTTATTTATTTATTGAGAGAGAGAGAGATAGAGCACAAACAGGGGAAGCGGCAGGTAGAGAGAGAGGGAGAAACAGGCTCCCCACTGAACAAAGAGCCCGATGCAGGGCTCAATCCCAGTACCCTGGAATCATAACCTGAGCCGAAGGCAGACACTTAACCAACTGAGCCACTCAGGCACCCCTATCTTCCCCACTTAGGATGTAAATCACATGAGCTTAAAAAATTGCTTTTAATTTTGTTCTCCAATGTAGCTCCAGGTCCTAGAACAGTTTGTGACTCATAGTAGGCAATGAGTGAATATTTGATGAGTGACAGAATGACAGACTGAATAAATGGATCTGAATAAAAAGACATGTATGATATTCATTGCAGTGTTCTTTTATTTTAAGATTTTATTTATTTATTTATTTAGAGAGTGCATGAGCAGGGGGAGGGGCAGAAGGAGACGGGGAGAGAGAATCTCCAGGAGACTCCACACTCAGCATGGAGTCTCATGTGGGGCTCGATCCCAGGGCCCTGAGATCATGACCTGAGCTGAAATCAAGAGTTGGATGCTTGGGCGCCTGGGTGGCTCAGTTGGTTAAGCGACTGCCTTCAGCTCAGGTCATGATCCCGGAGTCCTGGGATCGAGTCCCGCATCGGGCTCCCTGCTCGGCAGGAAGTCTGCTTCTCCCTCTGACCCTCCCCCCTCTCATGTGTTCTCTCTCTCTCATTCTTTCTCTCAAATAAATAAATAAATCTTAAAAAAAAAAAAAAAGAGTTG